CTTCACAAGTAAGTAGGCTTTTTAAAGCTACATTTTAGATGGCAGTATGAACATTGGACAAGCATTTGTGACTGGGGTAGCAAGAGGCTTGTGCTTCAGCTGGAAGCTACCGAGTTGTAGTAAGCAGAGATTGAGTAACCTGACAAGACTATATTCCTACCAATGCAATGTAAAGCAAAGCTAACTTTTGGAGACCACCACTTGCCTCTTTTCCTTGGCATCCTGAGTGCAGCCAAACCTATGTGGCAGGCAGTGAGTGTACTGTACTCTCAGTGGGGAAGGAGTGTAACTTTCTGGGATCAGATGGCCCTCTCTCTTAAGTGGGGTGCTAACGTACCTAGTGTGAGATTGAACTCCTATAAGCCATTAACAAAGCAGTTGCTTTAGTCTGGTTTTGGTACATGGGGTTTAGAGGTAATGATTGCCACAACTTTCTTTGAAAATAAGGAAAGCAGAGAGTGAAGGAATTAATCCAGGCCCTGCGTGCAGTAGGACAGAGTAGGCACAAGGAAGAGAGCAGCTCCAGGACCCTATCTCTGCTGGATGTGGTTCCTCTAGTTGACTGTGATACCTATCAAAAAATAGGTGCTGAGGAGGAAATCTGGGCTGTGGCTCCTGATCGCCTGATGCGGAGCAGTGTGGCAGTGCCCTGTGTTGCCAGCTGTAATGCAATGACCATATACAGACAACGGTTTCAAAATCCATATGTGAAATACTTACTGAGCTATTTGGAAAGCTGCGAGGCATTTTGTCAGCAGCAGAAGCCATCTCAAAACAATCTCCTGTAGTAATTTCTACTGATTTCACTGCTAACTGCTTCCAGTGATGATTCGATCTTTTTTTTTGACTTTTTTCAACTTTTTTTTTAAGAATACATGAAATGCATAAAAGCAGATTGAAATTTAGTTGCTTTGAACAAAATTTTTTTGGTAGAGAAGTTGATCAAATTTTGCCTAACAATATAGTGATTTTTGACGTTTGTAACTTTTTTCAAACTTGTATGATTTTTACAAGTTTGGCTACTTCATAGCAGTTGAAATATATAAATGTATATATAGATATATATTCTATCCAGAGTATCTTGAAATACCTGATCATTAACAAGATGGAGAGAATGTCAAACATAATTTAGTGATCTCTGAATCTCAGAGTGCACTGATGCTTACAACAATACGAGTCTTTTAATTTCTATGGCATTTCAAATAAGGTAACTCTGCAAATTTATTGCAAGATGTAACACACAATTGTTAAAACATCATCAAACTGATTGCTTTATTTGATTTAAAATGTCATATTCAATACGATGATTTTCACTCGTTAACATTAAACTTGGGGAACCATATGTTAAAACAATCTTGTCTACTGAGTGAGTGCACCCAGTTAAATAATCAGAAAAAAATGGAGACTTCCTACTAAACATTTTTATCTCCGTTTTTAAAATCCTCTAAAATTCATTAGGACAAACCTAATCCTGCAAATGGTAAATCATTCTATTTATAGATTGCACAGCATTTTGATATTAAAATGCATAAAATCTGCCAATAGTTCAGAAATGAGGCATCAGCAAAGAGGATTATTGGTCTACCTAAATAATAATACAACCATTAAGAGGATAACATTTTCCAATTGCAATTACATGCCTTAATTTTAAAGAAGCTATCATTTACAATAATTTGGCAGATTCAGTCCATATTTCTTTCACAAATTTATTTCTTCATTATGCCTCAAAACAAATTTATGGTGCATTTATATTGGTGAAGATAATTTGCTTAGTTTATTGTGAATGGAAATCAGTAATTACATACAATCTCATTTTCTACAGACATAAAGTTAATTCATGGTAGTAATTTTACACAGAGTATTAGCCCGTGTTACTTACGATTAAATTTGTTACTGTGGCAAACACTCTGTTGCAGTGTAATTTCCTTGGACTTGGTAAAAAGGAAATACTGACCTAGTAAATAACAGTTAAGGCATTGATTTTGTGATAATTTGGGGTGATTCTGAAGGTTTATTAATGTTTATGGGAAAAATCCTTGTCTAGCCCTCAAATCAAAACTTCTTTTGCAAGCAGAGAAGGGAAGAGCCTGTGAGAGGGAAGAGAAGCCTGGCAGGGTATATGGCAAAGCAGATGCTGGAAGTAGGTTTTTGAGCTGTGTGATGAAAGCAGAGGATTCAGTTCTCCAAGGAATTTGAATGGGATCCCTCGCTTTAGAGATAGAAATGGACAAAGCCAAGTAAGATGTTTGGAGACAGCAACTGTGTGCTATCACCCAAGGCAATTTCTTGTTAGGACAGGTCTTTTCAATCATGTGGTTGTGTATCTAGATGTTTTGTGACCAGTGTTACAGAAAGTGTATTAAAAATGGAGGCATCTTTTGTTCTGCTCAGTTGATGGGCATTTGACTCGAGGAACGTGTGCTGTGGTTGAGCACAGGCCTGCATGTGTGGACTCGGGGTGTGCATGGGCTCCTTGCCTTCCTCGCCTTGCTCTAGTTCTTTGATGGAGGGTCACGTTAAATCTTTGGGCATCCTTCCTTTTCCACCTGCTCCATGTGACAGAAATGTCCATGTCAAAACTAGTCTTCTGAGTGGGCAGAGTTGGACCCCACCTTCTATAGCTGCTCACAGGCCTCCTTTTAATTAGGCAGAGGAGTTGCTCTCAAAGAGCAGCTTGGTTCTTTTCTCTGAGATGAATGTGTTAATGCTCTTCCTATAACTCAAGGATTCAAACCCATCCTAAATGTATGAACAGCAAGACAAAAGGAACATATTACAACAGAATTGGTGAAAAAAAATTATTAATACACATCGAGAAAATATTTAAAATCAAAATTCATTTAAAAAGCTTGTGTCTGGCTTTCTTATAATACCTTTATTCTTAGGTGAACAGGAGTGGGGTGGTGAATAAGGAGAACTGTTATTTCAGAGGTGCTAAGATCTTGTGGAAGTAGGAGATGTAATAACAAATTCATTAATATTCATACAAATGGTAGAAGTAGTTCATGGGAGCAGTGCAGATATTTCGGAAGTATATCATAAAGATATTTGTTTAAGGGTATATTATGTATGCACTGTAAAGCATCTTAGAGGATAATGAATTTAAAACCAGAGGACAGTTACCTGCCTTAGCTTGCATTGTCTCAGTTAATCAAGACGTTTTGTCCCTTATTCTTTTCTTTACCAAGAAAATGGGGGATTATTTAGGTGAAGTTTGTGCTTGTAATTGTTAAACACCAGGTGAATTCCAGTGCGAGACCAAATTTGAGATCTGAAAAGTCAGTGAATGGTGGTGAAACACTTTCAGTTGGGAGTCTGCTGCTCGTGTAAGTTACTGCCCGCTGCCCCATGGAGGGCAGTGCATACGATGAAAATTCCTATTATGGAACAGGGTTTGCAAAAATTTAATTCAGATAGACCACATAGCAGACTAAAATATAAAATAGAAATAATTTCTGAAAAAGATGAGTTCTAACTTTAGCTTAAAAAGAGATCTACTTTCTCACTTTGAGTAGAGTCTTCTCTTTCCCTCTCATTTTTTCTGCATTGTGTATTAAAAGGTTTTAAGGCAGAGACAATCTTATGGGTTCGTGCTGTTCCCATCTGAATCATTGATTTTGATTAGAATGTCTAAGTGCTCTTAAAGTTCTTAAAAACTTTAAATCATATCCAAATATGTACACCGTCTAGCACAAGCAGCCCTAATATAGGCAAAATTCTGCTATGGCAGCAGAAATAAATATTACTAGTAACCAGCTGCTTTATAACCTTGTATTTGAGCACAGCATAAAACTGAATAAAAGAAATATGTCCTTGGATCAGTTGCTGACTTTTTCTATAAAATACTGAATTGAATTACCCTCATCAGCGTATGGTACTTCAGTGTGCTGTGGCGTTGTCTGTCTTCAGACTTTCTCCTTCTGCATGGAATTTGTCACTTTGTAAGCATAGCACAAATACTCAAGGAAAAAATTCTTTAAATAAATTGTCTCCTGGATGAATTGCCTGAGATTTTAAACCTGAAAATTAAAATAATGAATTTCTAGATTAGTAGAATCAAAGAAACTGGTGCTGTTGCTGCTGCTGCTGTTTTTCCTCAGAAGCTTTGTCTTGTAAGGGTTTGTGCATTTATGGAAAGAACTGCAGAACAGTATCCTGAGATATTTTTCAGTTTTGGATCCCTGATGAGTTCTGTATCTTTCCAGTGGGAAAGAATTTCACAGTACTCTGCTTTATTTTTAGGGAAATATTGAGGTGGAAAATGTCAGTCTGTTTCTTAAATCTTCACAGTCAGCGGCCTTTTTATTCTGACTTCTGTATTCTAACAGATTCAGAGCTCTTAAGACATGAGGTTGCCGTTTGAAAGCAATTTTGTATATAAATGTCCGTGTTTGTGTGTATACGTACACACACCTTTTTTAAAAAATTTTTTTTTCAGAAGGTGCATAGAGAGTAAGGTAAATCAGAACATCTCAAGGGGAAGATGAAAGTAACTAGAGATGTGACGTGTCATTCCAGAGTAACTTTTTTGGTTGAAGAAATACTTTTCAAAATTAACTCAGAAGTGAATATTACTTTGAAGAAAGACTATGTGGATTTTGAAATGATGCAGTAGAGCATCAAAACAGTTACAATAATGGGTTGCAATTATATGGACTTTGAGAGCTACCTGCCGCTAATAATGTAGATCTTTCAAATACTGTGAGTTATTTTTAACAATTACAGAATAGACGACTTATAACTGAAAAGTAGCTCAAGAGAAACAAATGAGACATTTTCCACCTCTGCAGTGATAAAAAGATTTAATACACTAACGTATTCATTTCACCTTTTGGAAAAAAGTGTGGAAAACTATAGAATATCAAATGAATTGAAATTAAATTTTCAAGCTATTAACTTTAAAAGTGGAATCATGACATAAAACTCATTTCCTCTTGCTTCTCAATTTCAAATAGGCACTGTAATTGTTATTAATTTTTTTTTTTCTCTCCTTTCTTTAGGAAATGTTTGGAATGAGCAGACCGCAATTTGTCTGGGAATGTGAGTTAAAACAACTTCTTGTATTGCTAATTCTACTGCTGTTGTAAAAACAGCTGCCACCTTCTGATGTTATTCTAATTTCTTTGGATTGTAGGAGACTGGAAATAATTCACTCAACCGTTACTGGGTTGATTGCAAAGTTATTGAACTTGCTGGAGTTTTCTCATCTAGTTCACGTCCTTGTTGTCTGTTGAGGCGAGTCTCATTTGTGAGCAATGGGCTGTGCTGCTGTAGGACCTGCTCACCTTAGTGATGGAGCGATGTGCTAAGCAATGAACAGTCAGAGCAAATGGATGGGTTGTGTCCAGAGAGTTTCCAACCAAACACTTAAAATGCATAACTTTGCCGGAGTTAAATACATCTTACAGAAAATACTAGGACAGATTGTTAGAGAAATCCTTGTTAAAAATTACTAGGTACACAGAAGCACATCTGTCTCCAGAAGGCCATGACCCATGCAAATGGTTGAAGACCGAGTGAAAACCTGGGAGAAACATCACTTACGCTGGTTCTCTTCTTATCTACTTTTTAGATGCTTCAGTCTAGCTGGATCTTTGCTTTGACTTAACGTGTTACTGTGTTCTTATGTTACTGTCTTTGAAAGATACTCTGTAATGAAAGTATTCACAGAGGTGATGTTTTGATGTAGAGAATGGGGAGAGTTGCAGGAAAAAGTCATTTCTTTTTGTTCAGAGAGCAGCTGTGTACCAGGAGAACAGCTTCAGCTCCAGGTAGGTGGAAGTCTTGCTGCCTCAGTCTCTTCAGCTTTCAGTAGATCATTGATTGCTCCCAAATGTTCTAAAAGCAGTTCTGTATGGGAGCCTTGTGCATTGCAATGTGGTAGTTTGCTTACTAATATTTTACACATTATGCTTGCTAGCAAAGTTAGTAACAAATAGGAACTTTTTGCTGTAGTGTTTGAGAAAGATGGATGTACAAGAAGAGTATGTACAGACCGTAGTCCCAGGCCCATTTACCAAGGAGCCAGTGCACAGAAAGTGTGTTTGTTGTTGCTAGAGCCACTTGCTTGCTCTAATGTATAACTGTTCCATGCATTTACAGAAGGCGAGAACCTGATTTCCCCCATACTTTATTGAGATTTAGAATTTTTGTGGGAGGTTATGAACCAACAATTCCCCATGCAGGAGGTAGATGTATGTTTAGATCTGTGGTAGCTGCATGGCTCAACCTCAGATGCTTCGGGTATGTTTGTGTGGCTCATTGCATCATCTTGTAGGTACCCAAGCCAGCCCTCATTGAGCTAAGGCACAGGAACTATTTCGGCTCTTATAGAAAGAGGATTTGGAAAAGCTAGAGGTATATAAATGTTGGACTTGAACTTAGGTCCCCCAAATCCTGCCTTCTAACTCTAGTCCCTTGTTGAGAATGCAAGCTTACCTGAAAAGCGCTGTAGAATTGGAGATATATGTGTTTGTATATACATATGTATATAACTGACTTTCCTGCTCTGAACCTGCCTACACACTTTATATGACCTGTGCAGATTTTCTGCAAATCACAGGCTGATTTTAAAATCTTTCTGTAAAATGGAAAATAATTCTTCTGAAAAAAAAGTAACAGAACATGATTTTTGTTTTCAGTTTAAGGCTAAAAATGTGATTGTGGTGGTGAACTTTACAGCTTGCATATTCCAGGCTAGAATTAGTAAATTAATTATGATTAGTAAGCTAATAAATGAGTAAACTCTTACAGTCAAAATAACTAGAGGTTAAAAGATAGTGGCCAGCTTTATGTCAGGCATCTCTTTAGGAATCTGTGAAGTAATTGGAACGATAACTTTAGTCTGATTTGGGGGTCTCTATGGTCGTAATAAAAATACTCATCAACTGATTAGGCATAATGGTTTCTAAAATTAGCAGAATGTTATCCATATTATACTGTTTTCTGCCCACTGTTGCTGCAGTTTTCTCAGGTTAGTTTAACAACCTTGTCATGAAGCCTTTAACTTCACCCTAGTTAAGTGTTCCAGTGAAACCAGATTGACTCTCCTGTGGCTGACGTGGTGCTTAAGCTTCCTGATTTCTACATAGAATATAAAAATGATTCCAAATTATGACTAAGATGGACCCTTATCCTTCAGTTTTATTCTGCAAACAACCTTTACTGAATTTTTTAGAACCTTTACTTAATCTAAAAAAAATGAAGATTTATATTCTTTCCTCGCTAATGTAAAAAGGCAATATATATAAAATATAAGTTCTCTAAATGGTGAGCAGAAATGCAGCTCATATGTTAGAACTTCATTTGCTGACAAGCTTTACAGGCGTGCGGATCAAAAGTCACGGTCCCTTTTCCTCCAGGGGACAAATTTCAGTGCCATCTCATGCCCTAATAGGAGTGAATTTTGCTAGTCTCAGCTCACTTCCTAGTAACTCTGGTCCATATTAGATATTACAATAAAAAAAGAGGGACAAATTGACAGCATCTGATAGTGAGAGATTGTGGAATTGAATTAGTTCCTCAGTCAGGATTGAGGTCGTTGCTAGGACAATGTTGCAAAATGATTTTATTCCAGGGCCTTTCACAGTAGCAGTATCTGGAGCCAAGAAGTCCCCGTGGTTCACATTAAACTGTGTCAGAGAATCCTAACATGTCAGAGACATGTAATACGAAAGTTGTAGAGCGGAAAGGTTCATCGGTAATGGATATTAAATGTACAAAAGCTTGTTTTCAGAATGGCATAAACTTAACTTAATCTGGAAGATTAATGTTTGTGGTTGACAGTATTGTGGTTTGGGACAGTGACGACATCGGAGCCCTTCTCATACCTTTGTTGCTTATAGATACCTGGGATAACCATGATCTGGGATGACAGTTTGGACTGTGGATATTTCACTCTGCCCCTTTCTTTCCATTGGTTTTAGGTTAGGAATACAATGAGAAGATGCACGTAGGGTACTGTACCATACAAGATAAGGTAGGAACCTCCTCTGCTTTTAGAAGTTGAAAATGCAAACCAAATAAATGTTAACTAACCAGCTTTGAGTCTCAGATTTTTTTTCCTGAAACCTGTTCGCATTTAAAGTTAATAATTTTATACAGAGAGATCAAGATGGACTATAGCCTTTATGAAGGCCATTACAAGTTGTTTTACGTAAATAGCTCCCAGTGATTTGTAACTTGAGAAGAGTTTATATCAATCAACAATCTTGATTTAAAGCTTCCTGCCCTCGTTCATGCCTTCAGTAACTTGGATACTGTAGTGAAACTCTTCTTGTGTAATTACCTGCTCAGTTAATTGCAGGCAACTAATTTTGATACAAACCTAAAAATTCTCACTGTTCTCAGAACACAAAATCCCAGGCTCCTGTTATTTGAATTCCCTTCTGTCCACTTATATCAAGGCAATAATGTGGTCTAGGATTTAGTTCCAAGCCTTGTTCTTTTAATCTCCTTTCCAAGCATGCAGAGAAAGAAGCACTGGCGAGTGTTTAATTATCTCGTGCAGCAGGAGCAGCTCCGCAGGCCGCCCTTGGCGAGCGGCCGCCGGGTCATTTGCCGCATGTCAGCGATCCGGGGATTCTCCATGTGCTCCCTGACCCACTTGTGGAGACTCTGCCATGCCGATCCGGGAGGAGGCTGCCCTCGCAGGGAGGGTTCTCTGCAACAAGGTGACAACAACATCACTAAAACATAATCTGAAAAGAGGGAGTGCTGCTTGCTCACGTTTTTTGGCTGTGCCACTTTGGCGACCTGCACAATTACAACAACTAGGAGAGAAACTTGGTAGCATCCACTCAGCAGAACTGAAACACTCTGACCTGGAGGGCTTTTTTGCTGTATCTGACCTTTGTTAAACTGGTTTCAGCTAATCTCTTTGGGATGTTATCAAGTGAAGTGTCCATGCTGCACTTTGTATTTTTAATATTAAAATGTAAGTGCTTTTGCAATGGGAAATACCAGTCCCCTGGCTGATACTGTGCTGCTGGTAAAATTCATTTACTTCAAGTCAAAATGTGCACTGCTAAGTATTCATTCAGTTTTACCCTTCTGTTACTGTAGTTACTGGTGGAGGGCAGCTCTGTCTCAGCTAGTATATATATGCTTACAAAAAAGGCAGAAGAAAGCTAGTTTCTTGGGGGAGTGGGAAGAAACCCAGGTAATTTAAGTTGCATCAATGAATGAGGAAAGGGAGATGAAATTCTTGTTTTGATTTTAAAGCTAAAAGATAAAAGTTGAAAAGATAAGAATAAGTTTCAAATGAGCAGAATAGTTACGGAGATGCTGAATTAATCAGTGTCAAAAATTAAAACATGATTGTGATGCCGCACCGCAGAGTCATTAGAATATGTGGGATGGATGTGAATAAAAATGCTGAAGTTTACTCATATTCTAGGTGTCATCATTTTTGGCTGAAATAGAGCTTATAGTATGTATGTATGTAATTTAAATGCCATAGATATGTGATAATTCACAAGAAAATTAAGGCACTTACAATGAGAGGACTGTTTTATCCATGTGGTGATGAGCACTGACCCCAAGCCCAGGCATCAAATCAATCCAGCAGCCTCACAACTTCATTTGTATTTGTGCTGGTTTCCTAATCACAGTCCCTGGGGAGCTCTGCTATGGGACACATCATTGTCACTTCTGCAGTAAATCCAGACATTTTGCAGCAGCTTTTCTATAGGTAAGACTTGCACTGTGCTTTTTTTTTTTTTTTTTAATTTTTGTTCTTCGCTTGACAGATATTTGTGACAGGTTAGCAACGATTTTGACTGCATGTTCCATTTTCACTGCATACTGAGGCAATTTGCTATCAGTGCGCTTTGTTATTTCCTCTGCTTTGTCTTTCTGACCTGCAAGGTGCTCCATGGCAGCAGTTATTCTTTGAATACAAACATTTTTGAGAGCTCTGCAGGCTGTCGCTGCAGGTTTGTAGTTCTAATCTGTAACAACTAGATTTCTGTTTAAGCGCCCATTTTTGGCTGCAGGCCAAGTTATTGGTTAACACTCAGGTTCTACTGACTGCATAATATCATTGTGAAGCCTCCAAATGATGAGGGCTGGATGAACTCAAGATAACTGGAGTATTTTGCACTGTGTGAGCATTCTTCCTGCAGCATTATGGATTTGAAAATGTGCAAACACCTAGAAAATGCCCCAGCGTTTCCTCTTTTCTGGAGGCCTCCCAACCATTATAAAGGGACATGGGAGCCTTGTTTGAAAATGCATTGTATTTTTGGTTGCTAGAGGTTTTTTTTTTTTGACATCATTTGTTTAGGAAGATAGGTACGATTAAAGTAATTGGAGAGAGGAATACTGTAGTGATTACTCAATTTTCTACAGGAATCTAATGAAAACATCCAAAATGACTCAGGATAAAGCTCTGTTAACATTACTATCAATATGCTTACAAGGTTACCTATGTTTACAGTCTGTCTGTTCTTATATTGACTATAAAACTGAGTTAATAGGTTTGCTTATGTAAGGCATATATGGGCTATTTATGCATGGTTAATATTCTAGTTCTTTTTACATAGTTTTGCCCAAGATGTA